TTTAAAAAAATTTTCAATAAAAATTTTATTTCTTCTATTCCTTTCAAATTTTTAGTGATAATTAGAGATTGATTAAAGGAGATTAATTCTCAATAAATATATATTTTTGTGTACACATTCTACTTTATTGTTTGCATTGCATGTTTAAAATTTTTTTTTTCCAATGATGGGACTCCGAGAAGTTCGAATAGTGAGTTTTGAGAATTCCCTATGAGAAGATTTTTTTAAAAATTGTCAAAATATTGAAATATTTAGAAGTTTCTTTTCAATATGAAAAATTTTTATTTTATGATCAATTTTTTTAACTTGAACAGTTTTTTTTTAATTAATAGGATAATGTTTTTAAGAAATAAATATATTTGTGGATATCTATATTGTTACATGATTTTTAATTTTTTTTAAATAAACGAAAAATCTTCAAGGATAAGATCCTAAAGAAATCTAAGTAATGATTCTTTAGATAAGAAAATCTATCTAAAATACCGTCAGCGTATTTGAGCATTTAGATTAATTTTCGATAAAGATTTCTCATTTTTTAGAAATAAGTCCTAGAAAATACTATTTGTTTTACAATTACATACTACTTTATGTTTTTAAATAACCATTGGAAATGAATATGAACTACCGAAGATAGGATTTTTAAGAATTCCAAGTAGTGATTATTAAAAATTCCTTAGGTGAGATGGTTCCTTTTAATATTGTCAATGTATTGGAATATTTTTAGGAATTTTTCAATATAAAATTCTTGTTTATTTTCAAGCTTACTAAAAATCAAAAATATGTTTTTAAAGAAAATTAAGGAAATTAACTTTTTAAATACGAAATTTAAGATCATTTTAGTCAATATTAAAAGATAACATATAATTAATTAGTATTGTTTTAAACGGGCATTGTGAGGTGCTAATCCTTCCCTATGTGTAATCGACTCTCAAACCCAAACTGTTTTCGCAGACCTAAAAATTATATTTTTGTTAAATTTTAATTAATTTTAAATTTTATTAAGAAGGTAAGGTTTAATAGGTGGTCAATCAGCCAAAAAAGATTGGTGGTGATTTCATTTCTTTTGTTTTTTCAAATTCGTCTAGCGATTCTCAAAATTGTTACGACAAGCAATTATGTGTATTAACTTTAAAATTAATAATGAATAAGCAATCGAGCATATAATCAATTAGATCAAAGTTGTTTTCCTTTTTTTTAATCACAATGAATAAACATTTAAGTATGTAAACATTAAAATTCATAATAATAGAAGTAGACATTGAGTTTAGTCTCAAGGGGTGGGAATACTACATTGGAGAAAGTAAAGAGAAGTTCTAAATATCAAAGTTGTTGAACTGATCCCAAAGTCTAGAGAAAAGGGATTGATGATTATGCCTTGCTAGCCACTAATTGTGTCAATTGACATGTTTTCGGTGGGTTAATTGCTAAAATGGGACTAGAGGACAGTGAAGAGAGCTCTTGATTTTGGGGTAAAATAGAACAAAGAGTAAAGTTTTATGTTCTATGAGAGTTCACCATTTCTTGTCTTGTCTGGCACTTTCTGAAATGAATGTGGGCATTGCAGTTTGAAATGAAAGTCAAGTCCATTTTAAAACACTATTTTTCAAAGCATTAGTTCACTAATCTCCTTCAATTCACCTTCTTCATGTTTCAACATCTTTCTTTCAAATACCTTTCAGTCATATTTTCTTCTCATCCAGATCCTAATTCCTAGCATCTTTTCCTTTCATATTTTTTCTTGTATCTAATTGTACATTTAACATACATTTTGCTTTTAAAAGTAGTCAAAATCAAGTAGCAAAAGAAAGACACAAAATTTATATGAAAGCTAAATTAAAAAAAAAGAAAAGCATCTCATCACAAAAGTAAAAAGTAATCGAGAAAGAATTCCAATGAAAAACAAAAACAAAAAAAAGGTACTTTTAACAGGCATTATTTGAGAGATCTCAACATCAAATACAAACACCTCTAACCCCAAGTCTTTCTCTTGTAATATGCAAACTCCCTTTAATAAACTTATCAACAAAAAGAAAAAACAAATTAAACAAAATTAGCAAGTAATTAAATAACAATTGAAACCAAATTGGAAATTCTAATATTATACCCAATATTCACATTCTTTCAAATATTTCAAACAATGTAGGCCTAAAACACCTACAAATTTCTAGAATTGAAATTTTGTAACAAGAATTTCAAAAACTTATCCAAGTGTATAAAAGTGAGGGAAAACCTTCTTTTTTGAAAAAAAAAAAGGACAAATTTTAATTTAATGCAAGAATAAAATAAAATAAAAAGAATGAATGAGATAGAATCATACATGATTCTTATTTCTTCTCAAGTAAGAAGCTGTTGAAGGAATGGGTGGAAGGGTCATAGAGAAGCGCAACGGTGCAAGTCAAGTGGCTTGTTGATTGTGTTCCAAGCCTTAGTTGTTGTTATTCTAACGTAAATCAAATGACTATTTAGCCAAACCTAGCAAATTGGTCTATAAACACCTTTGTTTTCTTTGTTCTCCCTCTTTTTCTCTCTCATTTTTTCCTTGTTACTCCATTTAATCCTTTGACATTGATTGTAGCTTCCGTTGGTTGGTGCCTTTCCCTCTTTTTTATTTTTCCCTTTCCTTATCCCTATCGTTCCCTTTTTCATTCATTTCTTTTTTTTTTTTCACTATTGACTATCAAAAGAAATTCAAAAGCTTCAAGATATTTTTTTTTCAACAACAAAAAATCATTAAAATAATTAACAAATATATCCAATCAACTAATAATAAATGTCATTCATAGAACCCTTTAGGGGATATTTTTCATATGTATTAGATTTTTGTCCTTGCTTTCAATATATTGTATAGATATATACTAAATTAATATGTGGTTAAGTCTTATGTAATTAATTTAAATTGAGTATTATAGTAATTTTAATAAAATGCTACATGTGAAATTTTCATAAAATAATGGTAAGATGTTTTAGTAATTTTATATGTAATTAATTTTATATCATATTAAAATTTAATATGTAATTTAATAAAGATATTATAATAATTTTGATTAATTATGTTAGGAGGGTTATTTTCATAATTATTGTAGAAAAGTATTATAATAATTTTAGCTAATTATGGAAGGATGAGCATTATAATAAATTCATTTATATGTCAACTACTAAGCAATTAATCATAGGGGCATTATAATAATTTTTTATCATATTATTTTTAATATATTATATAAATTTATTTTATTATAATATTTTAATATGTAGTTAAGTTTTATGTAATTTTCATGAAATAATGATAAAGGTATTTGCTAATTTAATATGTATTTAATTTTATATTATAATAAAATTCAATATGTAATTTAATAGGGGTATTATAGTAAATTTTAAATAAAAATCACATCTCATTCCGTAATTATGGTAAATGGTTCATTATAATAATTTGGATAAGTTATGATAAGAGTATTTTTGTAATCATAATATGAGAGGTATTACAATAATTATATCCGATTATGGGAGCAAAGATATTATTGTATCTTTAAATATGTTTCAAACAATGGTAATGATTGAAGGGGTAATATAATCATTTCCAAAGGGATCGTTTTAATTATATGCATAGATAGGTATAGATTTTCTTCAAAATTAAACAATTTGCATGCTATAATTTGATATTTAATGTGCATCATTTACAGGCTTTGAGATACAGTGACTTATGGGAGATTGCTTGGATCAAACATTGCTCCAAAAATGGAATGGCCAGAGTTAGTAGGCCTAACTGACCCCAGAAGAAGCAGAGAGAAAGATTGAGGAAGAGATGCCAAGAGTCTAGATTCAGGTGGTTCAAGGTAATTCTTTTGTTACCATGGATTTCAACCAAAGACGTGTTCGATTATATCTTGACCCTTCGGTAAAAGTTTAGAGGCCTCCAAGGGTTGGCAAAGAGCAGCTTCCCCGTAGACCTACTTGAGGGAAAGGAGTTTTTCAATGTTTGGTTTTTAGGCCCAGCCCATGCTGCCTAGTTGGTAAACTGATAATTTTATCCCTTATATATTTTCTTTGATTTTATGTGGAATCACTACAAAAAATTTTAAATAATTTGAATTGATGTTACTTTTCATTATTCATTTTTAATTAATTTGATATCATTTGCATTTATTGACTATTGCATAGAAAAATAATAACAAACAAATGGTGAAAATAAGAATAAATGGAAACAAAGTGAATAAAGCAAATGATATTATGACCGCACTTTGCCGAAAAAAAAAATTTTAAATTAATTTCCACTCAAATAAATAACAATAAAATTAAGAATTAAATAAACGTGAGATGTCCATTAAAATGTGAGATATCAGGACATTTCACCTGGATGGATTTGCTTGATAAGGAAAATAGTATATATGTGAAGAGAAAATCAGGAGCTTGAAGTACTGTCCAATTCATGGTTGAAACTTGAAATTTGAAAATGAACTAATATCATCGCAAATTGCAATGTGTGACTGCGAAGTCAAAGACATGTTTTCCTTGTAGTGATCAAATTGCGATGACATTGTTGTTCAAAATCTGCGATAAAGATGAAAAATATATATATATATATATGTGAAGCTCACCATAGTTGTTTTTCAACTGATGCATTGCAAGAATACCCGACAAACACCATTGGCGGATTATAGAGAAAGTCAGAAAATTCCACTGAATGATGATCCATTATTAGAAAAAGATGACCAAAGAAACGTGGTCCCTCTAGATCTTGTTTCATTATCTCATGATTCTCATCTCTGTTCTGTTCCTCTATCCAAAAACAAGACGGAGAACAAGAAATGTCTTCTCTTGTATACATTTAGCCAGAATTTTGGAGTTGTCTGTCCCTTGCAAACTTCTGAGTTTTGACTTATATTTGGGGTGCTTTTAAGTCTTGTCTTTGGCTATTTGCCTTCTAAAACATCAAAACCCCACAGTCCCACTATCTATAGCTATAGTACTATTGAATCAACTGCTAGAACTATGCCCACCTCTTCAAGGTCTTTTACATCAGAAATCCCAACAACCCATTTGAAAGAAATGCGAATCAATTACTCTGCTTTTTGGTACAAAAGATGGTCTCTTTAAAGGCATTACTCATTCAAAACGAGTTTTTTCCACGCCTAACATATCAACTGTTCCATTAATTTTGGCCAAATATAACTCAACTCTGCTCCAATTTCAGTTCATACTCATTTCGATCTCAATCTTCTCAAGTTTTAATTACCTTTAAATTTCGAAAATTTGCAGCTCAGTTGCCGATTAGCATCACAATATCACATACAGAGGTAATGACAACCGAAAATGAGGGAAAACTCATTCATGCCAATTGCCATCACAGAATTGTCCAAACATTGTAAGAACAGGAAATTTGTCATTGAAGAAGTAAGGATGCTACAACATGTGAAATATCATTGACTTTTCCCCTTAGGATAAAATTTTCCACAGTTTTGAATACTATAATACAAGCTCAACAGAGAAGAAATTTAAAAAGAAAATTGCTCTTTCAAACACATTAAACTATCTAGTTTCTCTAAGAAGGGAAAGTGGAGTGGTAGAAAGAGAGGCAAAGCTAGTACCACCATTACCATTTTCCATGAATGAATATGAACTCATTTTATCAAATGATGAGGACGGGTACGAATGCATAAAAGCGTCAAACCCTTCTGCCAAACCCTTCCCTCCGTCAAATGTCCCACGTGGCCTTAAATTTTCTGGTAACTCGGCCTCTCCATCAAGATACCTCACTAATTGCCTCATGCTAGGCCGTGACAAAGGCACATCATTTGAACAAATTAGGCCTAATTTAAGCACCATCAACATTTCACCTTCATTATATTTGCCATTGAGCCTAGTGTCCACCACATCAAGGAGCCTCCCTTTTATAAACTTCTCCCATACCCAATCAACTAACAATATTTCCTCAGGCAATGCCTTGTGCTCAAGAGGCCTGCGCCCACAGGCAACCTCAAGCAAGAGTGCACCAAAAGCATAGACATCGGAGCTTGTTGTGGCCTTTCCTGTCTTGGGCAACTCTGGTGCTAAATACCCTAATGTGCCAACCATCCGAGTTGTCGCCGGATTTGAGCCGTGTTCATACAATCTTGCCAGGCCAAAATCCCCTAATCTTCCATTCAACTCATCATCTAATAACACATTACTAGCCTTAACATCTCTATGAATCACAATTTGTTCATAGCCTTCATGTAAATAGAGAAGCCCTGAAGCAACACCCTTTATAATCCTGAATCTCTGCTCCCAATTAAGGACCGCTTTAGGCTCATCAAACAAAAATTTATCTAAGCTGCCATTAGCCATGAAATCATAAACAAGAAGAAAATCACCTCTTCTCCTGCACCATCCCAATAACTGAACCAAGTTTCGATGGCGAAGCCTTCCAATACTAGCAATTTCTGATACAAATTCACGCAAACCCTGCTTTGATTCATGAGAAACTCGCTTGACAGCAACTTCAGTCTTTGAGTATCGAAATGTCCCTTTGTAAACTCTACCAAAACCACCTTGTCCAAGTAAAGTTTTGTCACTGAAATTATTGGTTGCTTGCTTGAGTTCTTGATAAGAGTATCTTTGTGGTCCAATCTCCAGCATCCAATCTTCAATCACATCTGCGTTCTTGATTTTGATAATGAAATAAATGGCAATGGATAAAACAATTATGACAAGAATGACAGATGAAACTGAGACACCGACTGTTAAAACTGTAAGCTTTTTTGGTGGTTCCGGAAGTGAAGGTAAAGAAGATAGATCAAGAGCCTGAGCTTGTCCATTGATTTTAAAGCTCCATCCTAAAATATAATGCGAGCTAGCAAGTAACCCTGTTGACGCTGAGAAACCAACGTACATAAACTCCTGAAGGTACGGTGAAAGATCTACATGAAAAGACAAGATCGGCAATCTTGGTCTTGTAGAATTTGGTGCGATCGTTACATTGATGAAGTTTTCAACTGAATCATAAACGATCCAGGCTTGGATTGCTTTTCCACTTTTGAGAGTAAGATTTTGCTTTGTGGAACCATCCGTGTAGTAACCGGCAGGAACCGAAGCATTTGAGTCCAAGCTGTTGATGTCGATGCCAATATGGTTGTCATTGATGTCCTGGAACTCAAAATCCTGAACCGTATCGAACTCAACTGCAACCAAATGGTTTGAGAAGTTACCGATATCAGTTGCGTTGAGGATTCCTAGATACTGACTTGGAAGTGCTTTGAGATCTTTAGAAGTGGTGATTGTGAAAGCAAGGCCGTGACCACCTAGCTTTGGATACTCAGGAACTATAGCCATAGCAAAGGAGGTAGAAAAGGAAAAAGCTTGGCCATTGGTTGAGTTCTTGAATCTAAATGGACAGCTATAAAAAGCATGACCCAGTAAACGACTGGTGTCATTGGTTAAGCGTAAAATGCCGTTTTTTTCAATCTGTGCAAGTCCTGTTAATGAAAAGTTGTTGGGATTTGAGTCTTTGAATCCCGGAAAGAAGAGCTCGGTGGGTTGGGAAAAAGCTGAGATTAAGAACAAGAGAGTCAAAAGAAACGAGAGGAAATAAGCCATTTTAAGTTAAGAGCAACAGAAAGTAAAACAAGAGTGAAATAAAGGCACCTGGATCAAAAAGGATATGAATTTGGAAAACGTTGGTGACAGGGGAATGAAAGATTCGAAGAAATAATTAGCATTTTTAGGTCGTTTTTGTTGGAAGAGAAAAGGTTGGCGATACTTGAAAGAGATCTAATGATGGAGATTAAAGGGAAGCAGAAACATTGGGTATTAATTTGGCCAATGCTCACATAAGCCAACAGAGAGAGAGAGAGAGAGAGGCGCTTTCGAAATATGGTCAGGTTTTGGCACAGACCACACCGAGACAGCGTTTGAACTGTTGACGAGGAAGGAGCAGGGGTGGCTATTTTTTCATCTTGTGAAAAAACGGTTTCATGTATGGTGCATACGTGATCTTCCCTTTCCGATTAGCCCACGTCAAGGTAACCCTTGAAGAAGGGTAAGCCATGATAGTGGAATCGACCTAGTCACTGAATAAAAGTGATGCCTTTGAAAGAAATTTGTTTCACAATTGCAGGTTGCTTTAAAGAAGTTTAGTGCTAGTCTTCCCTTTTAAATTGTCCGTTTGTTGGAATAAAACATTCCTCTTGAATCTGCCAACAGTCAAAATCATTTCATTGAATAGATTAAGGTTATGTGGGAGAGCTTTCTTTATTCAAATTTATATAATTAAACCCTTGTTAATGTGATAAAAGAGAGAGAGAGAGAGAGAGAGAGAGAGAGAGAGAATAATTTGTATTACTCATATTTTAAATGCTAATAACAAAGCCAAAAAATACTCATTGGAGCTGATCTGACTGTTTGAAGAATAATTAATGCATTCAATGTTTTGCATATATTGTTTTGTAGCGACAGAAAAAAGACCGTTTGCAGACATCAGAAGTAAAATTAAATTTGCATTCTTCTTTTTTACCTTCTTTCTTAGAGAGAGAAAAGAAAAGAAAGGGGAGTGGTTTGATATTAGCTAGCTCACCAGACTTTGCTCCATCACTCCAGGCAAGTTTGATTTAAATAACTTTAATTGTTGTTTCGTGATAACTCTACAAAATAGAGTTATTTAGATTTGTTTTTAGTATTTAATTATGTGAATTTTGCTTAATTCTTTATAAAATAATTTAATTTTTCTCTTTAATTTATTTAATTTGTGCATAAGTAAGAAAATTTAAGAAAAATTGAAAAAAGATAAATTCTTGAACAATTTGATTGATTTTAGAAAAATATATGAGATTTGTTCTAGCAAAGCCGAGACCAAGTTGAACTCAAGGTTTCATGAAGCTGCATATTCTTTAAAGCATTCACATTGAACTATAAAATTCTCATGAAAGAGTTCAAATTGGAATTGAACTCCTAATCCTAGTAGGAGGTGGCATGTGAAAAAAAAAACAAAGAATGCATGGAATTAACGTCATTTCATGGGGTTGTCTTGTATTCAAATTAATTGCAATAGTTTTAGGTGGCGTGATAAGGATTCAAGAAGCTTGCATGAAGACATAATGTGCCGTATGAAATAAAACCAAGTAGAATTGAAAGTCCAAGTCATAGCATGATAAGGAAGGGCCAAGAATATATGAGTTAACTTGCATGAAAGAGTCAAAGTGAAGTTGTGCATGAGAAAAAAAACCGTGGCAGTTTCTTGATTGAAGTTCTATTTGGAGAGGTGGAGTCCTATCTCGGCAACGCAATCGTTTTGGAGAAATCTTGGAAGAGTCCAACCGAAACTCTAAAAAGAATTCTACCACTTCACAAATTCAAGCCAACCGAAGTAATCCATAAATTCTCCATCTCTAAATAGTCAAGATTAGATTTAGAGAGATTTACAATGGTTGGGGTAACAGACCAACCTATCTCTAGTCTTCTCTAAGTTCCTTGTTCTAGTCCTTTCAGTTTTTAAGTTGTCTTCCAAAACAGTTTTTAATTTTGTGCTCTTATAATTTTAATTTTCAATCTAAGTCTACGAATCAAATTTCTTTTAAGTTCTTGCAATTTACTTTTAGGCTCTTTAAATTTAAGTTCTTAAAGTTTTTGTTTTAGCTCTTTAAAGTTTTTAATTTTAAATTTTGTTTAAGCAAATCTAAGTTGCGGTTTAACGCAGTTTTTTTTTTTTTTTTTCAAATTTTGTCTTAAAACAGTTTCATTCTTTTATTAGTTTTACAAGGTTCCAGTTTTAGTTTTAAAGTTAGGAATTTAGCTTTTGCATATTTTCAATTCGGTTTAGCATAGTTTAGGCACTGTTTTAGATACTGCATTTAATTTTACTGCACTATTTAATTTTTCTGCATTAATTTTGAGTTTAATTTTCTGTTTTTAGTATTTTAAAATTTTACTGCACTTAATTTTTAGTTAATACATTAAGTTATCTACTATATTACTTATACAATTATATGCAATTATACATTTTATATACACTTGCAGATCTCCTGTACTATATTTAATTTTCTGCATGTTATTTATGATTGTTTTAGGATTATAATGAATTTACTGCATTAGATTTTATGAATTATTTTAGTTTACTACTTCAATTTATTAGACTACTTTAGCATTTAAATAATTTATTACATTAGTGTTAAGTTATTATTTTAATTTACTGTATTAAAATTTTAATTTTTACATTGTTAAATTCGGTTAATAATTTAATTTATTTAATTTTTTATTTACATATTAAATTAATTAATTGCATAATTATATAAAAATTATGCAATTATATACAATTATACAATTATATACTTATTACTATATTACTTATACAATTATATACACTTGCAGATCTCCTGTGATTTCATCATAAGATTAAGGATTGATTTTTTTGTTTTTTTGGCTTAGTATTCGACCTTTACAACAAATGAGAAGACAAAAGAATTGATAAGATTCTGTTTCTCACATTCTTCTTTGTCTCCCATCTATATTTCCTTATACTATCATCCTGACTAATAATATACTTAAAGCCGTCAAATTTGTTTGGTAATCCATGACATCATATAATTTGGCATGGTATAAATTGTGTTTGACACGGCTTGGTATCAAGTAATCGGGTTGAATCAATCATGATACATATATATGAGCCATTGTTACATTTTAAGATGGAGATATAATATGATCATATTATTTTAAAATCAAATATCAAAATAATACGAAATCTTTTTTTAATCATTCTAAAATTTTTTAATAAAATAATCTGTTCAATTAAAATTTATAACTTTAATTCAATTAATGATAAATTTTCATATACCCAAATATAAACTAATAAAAATACAAAATTACTTCATAAAATCTTAGTGGCCAATAATATCTCAATGGCCAAGTAATCTTTTCAATTTGATCTTTTAACTTTTCACAAGACTAAACAAACTTATTACTTTAATCATCTGTAAACGAAAAGTAAAAGAGAAATAAACAAACTACAGATCAACAAATATTGGCACACATATCTTACTGGATCAAATATCCTATTTATACATATATATATATATAGCTCATTTAGAAACATCATTCAAATTACGCTTTCAAAACACTTAAGTAAATATTCAAAAATTTGATATCATATTAAAACATTTCATCAACTACAAATCATAAATCATAGTCAAATGCATACTTCATACAAATCATGGATTAATCTTTAAAATCATAAATCATCATTATTATTACTTCATCATTAGCTATGATTATTACTATAACCCGTGATAATGACCGTATAGATAATTTCACTCTCATAATCATTGCTAACTAATTTAACTTGTTAACTAGGGTCATATGTTAATTATTATAACCTGTTAGCTAGGGTTTTAAAACTAATTCTGATGTTGATGAATCCACTTCCTAGAAATCTAAATTTGTAACTATTATAAAATTATTATTTAAGTATAAATAAGTTACTCATTTCATTTATAAGCATGATCCATCACTTATATGACAAAATGCAAAATAATCATATGCTTGATCATATTTTTATGTATCGAAAATTAATAGATAGCACATTCACTCATTTAAAAACATATATATACACATTTATTCGAAAACAAGTAAAGTGTCTGATATTTTATTTACTTTATTTCGATTCCATCACTTAATTTTTCTCTCAAAATAATTAACGGCATATTTAAGATCATCTCAATAAAACAGAAATTAATCAATCCTTTTTGAGGTAATTTATACTAAAACAATTAAATTATATAAGAGTTAACTCAATTAACTAATATCGGTAACATAAACTTCTTTTACTAAAATAACCGCATCTCAAAATATACAATTTGAAATTAAAATCTTTTTAGTGTATTAGAAACTAGACTCGATAAGCTTTTTAACTATATATGGCTCACCTCTTAATTCTTTGTAGATTAATTGTAATAATTTTTGCAATCCTCATTATATGCTATTGCCAAATATCATGTATACTTTCGAATAAAAATTATATATTTATTCATAGGAGACTTGAAATTTAATTTCGCTTGTTTTGTTGAAAGGTATACTTAATAAACTTTTCAAAAATTATGGCTAAATTAGTAATTCATTGTATAAAAATTAATAGAATTTTTGTAATTCCTATAATAGGCAACTTACACATTTTTAAGTAAAAATTAAATAACTCTTCATTGAAAATTTAAAATCGACTTTTGTTTGTTTTGTTAAAAATAGATTCAAAAACTTTCCAATAATATATAATATTTATAATAATAATATGTAATATCCCTTTCAAAATTTTTGTTATATTATTTTCTATATTATAAAAATATTATTTTATTTTATTTTACCTTGGGTGTTTTAATTTTGGTATGTTACTGAATGAATTTGTGAATGGGACTAAATTGCAAAATAAAATTTGAATGACTTTGGCAACAAGGACTGTTTTGAACAATAAAACACTAAGAGGGGTCATAGTGTAATTTATCAGATTTTAATCCTATTATAATAAATTATTTTCTTTCTAAACCGACAAAAAAAAACTGTTTCCAAAAAAAAGGAGAAAATTGATGGAGGCTGCTATCTTGAGATTCTAATATTCTATGTCAAGTTTTAAGATAAGATTAAACTTCATTTTTATGAAATTTTTTGTATTTTGTTAGTTTTCTTCATAACCCAATTTTGGCTTTCAAACTTTTAAACTTTCTGGTGACTTTTTGATGGTTTTCCGGCAGGATATTTGGTACCTTTAGAGAACTCTTTTCAAGACCTTTTTAATAGTTTTTATAGCATCTAATTTGGTTGTTTATTTTATGACTTAATAAAATTTGAAGTTGAAAACAAAATGAGTATTTGACAATGTTGACGATCCCAATTTAGGTCATTGTAAATTCACATTTTAGAAGTTATTTAGTTGAAACTAGGTTGTTAATTAAAGTAGGAATCGTCTTCTTTAACGTGGTGGTAATGGTTTGTTTAGGGGTTCTTTGAGAATGAAAAATCGAGACTCCAAAAATCAATTACATGAAACTAAAAACAGAGAAAATATGGGTATGCAGCGACTGTTTTCAATTTTTCCTCTAAACCTATTGATTTTGGTAACTTTTTACTAAAACAAAATTCTACTTTATATTACTACATGCATATTTGAAAATTGTGTTTTGATCCATCACTAAAGTCGATTGGAGTTAGGAGATAATTTGTCTCAAAGTCAGCCTAAGGATAATAAAATTATGAAAGATTAAAATTTGAGAAAAAATCATTTTAATTCTTTTTTGAAAATTTTTTTTGTCAGCTTTGATTCATTTTCATTAGAAATAGCATGAATTTCAATTACATGATTTTAATTAAATTTTATTTATTATAAAACTATTTTTGTTAAATTATTGGTAACCTTAAAGGACCCTATTTAAATAAATTCAAAGTTTGAATTAAGTCATTAAAATAAATACAAAGCTAATGATTTTTCTTGTTTTCCAACTTTAATTTTTAATTTTCTCTATTTTGGATATTTTCCATATTATTAGAAAATATAGTTTTAATAAAGAAATATATATATTTAAATAATTTCAGTTTGTAAAGGTAGTTGTCACATGCCTTAGATACCTTAAAATGGCCACTGAGAAGTTATATCTTGTTAAGTTATTATTTTTGTTAAATTCTAACTTTGAAAT